TTTCGAATAAAAAAAAAGAGAAACTCATAACAAATTGCATTGTGCAACAATCGTGATTATAGAACATGAAAAGCATGAATATAGGGAAAAACCTCAGCGAAGTACGTGAAAAAAAGAAAGATATCTTTTACGTTTTTCTTTTAATTCCGTAGAATATTGTACACATGTACTTTTTGGGATACCCTTATCCTTAGGAGACGAAAAAAGCAGTAGCTGCGTGAAAGTGGCCACTCCGAGTGGAAATGAAATAAAGAAAATGGGCAAAAGTGCAGCACTAATGCAGAGAAGGGTGGAACCCCGGCATCAATAGGGTATAAGGAAAGCGGCAATATGGCAGAAGCGTAGCCGCAATAAAGCAGTAGAAATGAAGCAGAAACGAAGCAGAAATGAAGAAAATTAAAGACAATTGCGAGCACGAGTAGAACCACCCCCACTTTGGAGCAAGAGAATGTGTTTCACACAAAAATTATCCCATTAGTTCAACTAATGTCGGAAGAAAAAGAAAAAACACAGGGGAAATGTACGGAAAACAAAAATGCCTCACATGTTTTTTGTTGCTTCTTTATTTTTGCTTGTCTTATATATAAATAAAACAAATTCCCGCGAGTAGGAAAAAAAAAAAAGAAAAAAACGACCATGTACTCAGGTAAAGGAAAATATGAAAATTTTACGATAAAAAAATGCAGAAAAAAGGTCAGAAATGAAATATAAAAGCAGAGAAATTGGCAAAGAAAGAAAAGAAAAGATTATGCAAAAAATTTGATGTATATACGGACCTTAAAACTTTTTTTTTTCCATTTTCGGAAATTGTAGAATTCAAAAAATGAACGCATTTGCATAAGTGTATAATGCGCAGTATTATAAATTAATTTTTTTTTTTCCGTAAATATTTCTCATAGAATTATTTCGATTGGAACAAGATGCGCCATACTTTGCACACTATTTTTGCACAAAAAGGTTGAAGAATGCTTCTTACCCTTTTTATAAAAAAAAAGGAAGGAAAAGATAAGCATAACGAACATACATGGCTATTTACCCATTTTCATTTGGTTTTCAAAAAAAGGGACACTACACGAAAGTGCAAATTGAAGGAATCGCTTTTCTTTTTTTATCTCCTCATGTTTCTGCTTTATCGAATATG